GGTGTGGCCTTGCTGGCGAGATGGAAAAGAACCGAGCAAAAAAAAACACACACACAAAACGAAAATAACAAAAAACAGAAAGACAAACATAACAAAAGAAAAAAAAGAACAGAACAGAACAGAAAAGAAAACAAGTAACAGAAAAGAACACAATAAAGGAAGAAAGGAACACAGAAATACAGAACAAAAGAACGAAATATCACAAAAAAGCAAAGTAAGAGAACATATATCATATAAACATAAAGAAAACTTGGAAAACAGAAAGAACCAAACAGAAAAGAAACAAAGAACAAAACCACATATAAGGAATCCATAATAGAGACACAATGAAACATCATGAAACACAACAACAAACACCGAAAGGCAAAACAGGAAAAAACAAGAGAAAGAAACAACCAGAAAGAAAAAACAAACATAAAAAACAACAAAAGACAACCACACAACACACATTAAACAAAACATAATAACAACAAACATACAAAAAATATGGAACCACAAAAACAACACACACAAAATACAGAAACCAACAAAAGTATATAAAGGAAAACGCAACAACACATAAAAGGAAGGAAGGAAGGAAGGAAGGGAGGGAAAGGAAAAGCAAGTTTAGCTGAGACTTGTCACGAAAACACAGTTTCGAGGCAACAACCTGAAACGCAACTCACGAAACGCTGCACCTGCAAAGGAATTCACGCTTCACACTCGAGACATCACATTTGTATTCTATTTCGCATGCGCCGGACACTTCTGCATCCATCGAAGAATCGACAAGACCCGGGATACAAAACCACAGGTCCAACCTGCAGACCGATCGCAGACTATACATTGGAATCCTTCGCTACGCTTTCGGGAAAAGAATTTGGGACACTTGTTTTATTGTTTTCCGCCTTCCCCACGACCTGAAAATGTGTATTGTTTGAACTGTTTTCAACATGTTCATTTGTGTTTAAATGCTGTGGGTGCTCCTGCTATCAAACTTAGTCTAGATGAGCAAAGCAATTGCAAAAAGCAGCCATGTGCAAAAACTTTTTTCTCTGACAACACTTTTGGTATGAACTGATATGATACATAAACGAACTTGCATGCTGCTCAGTAAACACCAAAAAATTGAACTGCCGCAGCCTGCCGAATTCAAACAATGGCGACATTGTACTATGTGCAGCGGCTCCACGCTTTCTGGTCTATGCCAACTTAGCTTTCCGCGATGAGTCCGTTTGCGGGCTGAAGCTCTTTTGTTGGTGTTTTTCCCCAAACAGTTTACTGTTGAGGTTCTGTCTTAGAAAAAAATAGGCCGCGCCCCTGAACTCTGTGGCTGGTCTCTGTGGCCCGGCTTACTGGAGAGGAGTGTGGCCGAACAAATAGCGATGTCAATGCCGACAAAAATTCATTGATGAAGTTTGCTCTTGGGGTGAAGGCAGGGCGTACCAAGAAATCGATTTTTTACTAATATTGGTCTAAACGAATCGTTTTGAAGCTGTTTGGGGTCTATGCTTGTATAATTCCCCACATCTTAGTGTGGGGTTCTTCTTTTCCATGTCTCATCCGCCTCCCGCCGCCCGCTTCCCGCCGCCTCCCTCCACACCGAGACAACAACACACACACAGAGACAACGCACACACACAGAGATCACACACACAGAGATCACACACACCGAGACAACACACACAGAGATCACACACACCGAGACAACACACACAGAGATCATCCTCCCTCCACACCGAGACAACACGTACAGAGACCACACACACACCGAGACGACACAGACAGAGATCACACACACAGAGATCACACGCACCGAGACAACACACACAGGGATCATGTGCAGAATTCGTGGCAGGCAAAGCACTTTGTGAACCTCCATGCTCCGTTAGAGGCTGTGGGTGTTGCGTTGTCTGCGGTTGTCTGCGGTTGTCGGCGGTGGTCGCCGGTCCGTCCCTCCATTGTGATTAGAGTATTCACTTGTTTGTTGACGCGCAGAATTCGTGGCCGGCGCAGCACTTTGTGAACCTCCACGTGCAGAATTCGTGGCAGGCGCAGCACTTTGTGAACCTCCATGCTCGGTTAGAGGCTGTGGGTGTTGCGTTGTCTGCGGTTGTCTGCGGTTGTCTGCGGTGGTCGCGTGTCCGTCCCTCCATTGTGATTAGAGTATGCACTTGTTTCTTGACGCGCAGAACTCGTGGCAGGCGCAGCACTTTGTGAACCTGCATGTGCAGAATTCCTGGCAGGCGCAGCACTTTGTGAACCTCCATACGCAGAATTCGTGGCAGGCGCAGCGCTTTGTGAACCTCCATGTGCAGAATTCGTGGCAGGCGCAGCACTTTGTGAACCTCCATGCTCCTGGCTGTTGCGTTGTTTGCGGTTTTCTGCGGTTGTCTGCGGTGGTCGCTGGTCCGTCCCTCCATTGTGATTAGAGTATGCACTTGTTTCTTGACGTGCAGATTTCGTGGCAGGCACAGCACTTTGTGAACCTCCATGTGCAGGTTGCACTCCGTCAGAACCTCCATGTGCAGATTGCAGTCCGTCAGATTGCGCTCCGATTTCGTGGCAGGCACAACGCAGATTGCATGTAATACTCCTGACGACGCCCAGGTTCACGAACACGACCTGCTTTCGTCTGCGCGATTCAATAGAGCTTGGCTATAGGGTTACGTCGGCAGAGCGGTGGAGTTTTACTTCGGCTAGTTGTGGCTGTACACACATGTCTGCACAATACCTCGTACATCCGCTGTGCACATTACTCTCCCACACCTCTCTCCCACCCCTCTGTTGTGTAATTCTGATATAACTCCTGGCAAGGCCATGTTGTAGAAGTTATTGAGACTCTGACTGCTTTGTGCTTTAGAAACTTAAGACTCGTAAAGACTCATATGTGGGGCTATCCGGTCCTTTGTTTGAAGGTGTTTGAATGTGGGGCTATCCGGTCCTTTATTTGAAGGAGTTTGAATGATGATATTCCAATAATATCCAATCTATTGGTCGTAACTTATAACTTTCCTGTGCTTGGGCTGCGTGAGGACCCTGAACAAAGCCCAGTGCGTGCTGGTGGGGCATTCCTTTCCATGGTTGCAGCTCTGGTCTTGGTACTGTTGCCTGTGCAGGCTGGGAACTGTTGAGGTATTTTGAGCCCAAAAAAGCAAACAGTGTGGCGCTGCTGCTAATGAATGCATCTAAGACTTTTGAACAGTGTTTTCAGTGTTTTCGAGGAGGCGCAGGCTGCACGATCTGGGGGCCGAATCGGCGGCACTGCCAGCGCTGCCCGCAGCAAACCACCTCCTCGAGCGCCAGTCGCTAGCAGCAGCAGCAAGACCGACAAGACAAAAAAAAGAGCAGCTGGACAGATATTTCATTTAGAGATGATTTCCTGAAGACTTCCAAAAGAGATCTCTGAAGATTGACATTTCTCAGATGACGTGATGAATGCGGAAGAATGGGATCACTCTCCACTGACATTGCAGGACAACAGTGATCAACAAGACCACTGTGATCACTCCCCCACCTCCAGTGGTTGCGGCGCCTCCTATTGGGATGGGTATGGGAGTTGGCTTTGCACCTGCCCCTGCACTACCCTTAGCGATTCCGCCACTGACATTCAGAATGGCCCGAAATTGCACACAGCGAGACGTCCCAGACACATGAGGTAGTTGTCGCGCCTCCACCGACCCTTGGCGATGTTGTGGTTGGCACGGTCATTGGAGGTGCCATCAACAATGCTATTACTGGAGGCCGGGGGCCTGTAAAGCAGAGTCCGATCCCCAATCGCCTTTTTCTGATTTTGAGTCTTAAGACTCAACTCCAGTCCACATCGTGAACATGCAGGCCACCACAGCGGGCCAACGAGCACTGACAGGCTTTTGGAGAACCAGCAGCGTCAGGACACACGAGATCTTGCCAGTGAACTTGCACGTCAATGAATGGGGACTTTCAATATCTTTAATCTTCCTGCTTCCGTTTGAAATCTTGGGTCGCACGAAGTTTTTCTTTGAGCTTAAGCCAGGACGAGCGCCAAATGGACAATCAGCAGCGGGAGATCGAACTTTTGAAGTCCGAGATCCAGAACTTGAAGTCCACCAAGTGAGTGGAAGAACTTGGAGACGTGTAGAGAGTCCTTTCAAGAGACTCCAGAGGTCACTTGAAGGCTTGGAGACGCAAAAACTTCAGAGGCCACTGGGGCAACAGGCCGTTGGCCAAAGTGGGAAGGGATGCCATTGCTGCAGAGGCCATGTCGGTCTCACAGTTTTCCATTTTTGCATTTCCACTGGGAACGTTCAATCAGAGCATACGCATGTTCGATCAAACTCGAAGGCAATAGAAAACGCTGTTGCGAACCTTGTGGAAGTATGGAAATCTCGACAAAAACAATTCTCTGCGCTGCCAACACTATGCAGCGCTCCGTTCCTAATTCTGGTGGCTCCCATGCAAGCCAGCAGGCTTCTACAAGGAAGCTCATGCATTTGGTGTGCTTTCGTTCAATTGGTCCAAGCAGATGGCCGATACTGCCTATACTCCATTTCGTGATCGTCAATCACGCAAGAACCAGTCCGCATGATGGAACACCTTTGCACGCTTCTCTTATTCTTTGTTCAGCTGGCCTCTGTGGACCCTGTAGAGCACCCTTGTTCCCTTGGATCACCATACCCAGGGATCTTTCGAAAAGACTATGATGCAAGGAGCCATAGGCCGAAACAATTGCTAGCTCGCGGCATTCGCGAGAGATTGTGTTCTCTTGCGATGTGTAGTGTTCGAAGTTGGTACTTGTAGTTCAAACTTCTGATTGAGTGATGCAGCATGTTTGAAGACACTGTTTTGCATTCTGCGGGACGAATGCTGGTGCAAGACATGCACTTATCGCACGATGAGATAGTAAAGTAAAGCGAAAGGATAGCACAACGATAGCATTTGTCCAGCTCATGTTAAACCTTGGGCTCGACAGCTTAAAGATCAGCATAGCCAACATTGTATTGGTTGTTTTGAGAGTTTTGAGCCTATTGAGTCCTATTGAGGTGATGTCTATGTCAACGATGCCTTTGGAACGGCCCACCGGGCTCATTCGCCTGTGACTTAGTTTCGCACAGAGTTCAGGGCATGGGAGATAGGTTTGGCAACGAAGTGCGCTAGTTTGATTGCAAACATGACATGCCCAAAGCGTAAACTAGGTATGTGAACGAGTTCATTGCTAAGGTCCATGGTGGGTTGCAACTTGCCTGAAAAGGTCAGTGGCCAAGGATGATTCTATCCCTGTTCTATACGACACAATGGGTGCTTGCACTTGTCCTTTTCCACGTATCACAACGAAATTTTCTTACAGATCAAGCAGCCCTTGAACAGAAACATGCACAATGGATGGACAGATGAAGATTCTATATACCTGAACCACAATCCACAAACTGAACCTTGTATGCTCTAGCCGCTATAGCCAGTATTTAAAGAGGTATATGTTACGCACACACACACACCTGCCTGCTCAAGAATCTAATCTATAGGTACTAAGTACTATATAAGTATGTATATATATATTATTACTATTATTATTGTTATTATTATTATAGTATATCTATATAAGTATTGTGTTCTTTACAATGGAACGGACTTTTGAACGGCCTGCAAATTTGACCTGGGATGAGATGACATACAAGGACAAAGATGGACTTGGATGTTTTGACTGAAGCTCACAACACAGGCATTTTCTTGTCATTTGTGCATTGGATTTGTTTGGATCAGATTTCTCAGCACTTCTCCGTGGGGTAGGTGATGGTTGGCAACTGGAACAACAGTAATTCAAGGAAGTCTTGCAACATTGGCCAGCTCAAAATGGCACACTGGACGCCAGTTTTCACCTTTTTATTTCAACATCCTAGACTAGGGTGTGGGGGAAAAGTGCCTTTGCTCCGACTAGAACGTATGGCAGCACGACAGCCCTCTGTTCTTTTTAGCACCAGGTGAAAAGTTGCAGAATGGCCATTGCTGTTTCCTTGCAAAGTGAACTTGAGCGTTGAATGGCCTAGGTTGCTGGTTTGCTCATTGAGAAGGAGCTAAGGGCCTTTTCGCAAGTGCTGTGCAGGCCTTAACGCCGCAGTTCTAGTAAGAGCTTATCAGCAAAGATTGCAGCACTGTAGCATTTTCTTGAGAGGGTGCTTTCCCACCATTGAAGAAAGAAGAGACTTCAGTGTTAAGAACCGCACCTCCCACGCCCTCAGGTCCGGCACAAAACCTGCCGACCGACTGCATACCCCACCAACTTAACCAGCCGCTGCAAAACCGAGGCTGACAAATCAATTATATAATCGGAAGAATTATCATGTAGTAGGGTGAACACTTAAGAAAAGACAACCATGCACAACCATGGAATAGAGTGACCTGCTTTTAGCGATATCAACCTAAGAAGTGTTTGGTAACTCTATAGACAATTCAATCTCATCCCCATGCATACTACGCGCAAGCGCTTGTGTTTTTTTTTAGATGTTAATTGTTGATTAGTTAGTAAGCACCCTCTTCAGCCACAGCATGCCACAACCATGTTATTCACCAATCAGCAGCGTCACTTGATCAGGGTTGTTTGCACAACACAACACAATACAGTACTGTTAAGATGCGACAAACAAAGAAGCCTTCTGCAAACTTGGGCCAGACAACAGACTTGCTCAAGCGACTCCGCCCAAGGACTACGCCAGCTCGCCCATTAGTTGCAATTGTTGGTGGTGCCAAGATCAATGACAAGCCAAAGCCCTAGTTTGCCACAAGAAGATGAGTGTGGTATATTCACATCTCTTAGCAACACCTGAGGATCAAGCTGATTGAAAACTTGATTGACAAAGCAGACGGCATCATTATTTGTGGGGGCATGGCCTACACCTTCTTGAAGTCTCTCGGCGAACGTGCAGAGAAGTGGCCCCATATAACTTCAAGACGGCTCCTTTTCACTGTTGCTTCCTCCTATAGGCAATGCTTTGGAATGCAGATTGGCTGGGAACTTGGAGATGAGAGCCATGAATGATGAAAAAACACACACTGGCTGCGCCAAGGTAACAGCCTCTTTGACAAGAAGGGCCAGTGCCCAAAGTAGACCATGGGTATCGGCGATAGCGGTATCAAACAGTAGGAGGGGCAACCTGTTCTTCAGCAACTCTGTTGAGGTGCCGACATTGTCCAGGGTATGCTAGACAAGGCCAAGGAAAAGGGCTGTGAGGCAGGGACCGAAAACGAAAGAAGTGAGTTGCCCTTTGTGTTGTTTAAATAACAGCAGATCAGCACCTCTATGGTGCCACCGACTTTGTTCTCCACATGCTGATGTTCAGCTTGTAGGATAGCGCCGCCATAACTATTTACACTCATTAAAGCCTTTTGCAGTTGCTTTGGTTGAGGTGACTCTGCCCATTGACTGGTTGTGCGGCAAAGAGTTCAAGAATGATCAGGACAAGAGGGGCTTTTCCCGCCATGTGCAACTTCCTGACTCGGATTTGAACAGAAATCCAGGAACCAAATGAATAGAAGTGTGAGCTATCCTGCATCCAGTACCTAATAGCCACCAACTGGCTTATACCGCTGACCTCTTACGGCCTATCCCCCCGCACTAAAAACCAAAATAGACAAAAGAAACAACACACAATTCTGGGTTTGAGCTCGTGTCCTCCCGCCGTAAAGACTGTCATTCCCATGGCTATGCCGCTTCACGGGGTCGCGGTTCTCCGTGAGCAACTCCAGTCGTTGTAGGTGTGCAGGAGTATCTCCTGCATGGCTTGGTCGTTTGTGTCTCAGGTGTGGTGCTTCGCAACTCCGTGGTCGTGTCAGCGTGTTGTGCGTAACTTGGTTCCCTAGTGTCTCTCTGTTTGCGCTGTGGCTGGGTCTGGGTGGATTTCTTGTTCTGTCATTGTGCCTGTTCTGCATCACCCCCCAGACCCCCCGAGCTAAACCAGAACCCTTCACCATGCGCCTCGCGAAAAACATGCAATCTACTGTAGGTGTTTGGGTTCATGCTCGTGCAATTCTGTAACCAAAAGGGTTCCCACAGAGCAGTTTATTTTCCAAAAGGAGTTTGCAGTGAGCATTTCTTTTGCCATTGCTATACACGATTTTTCTTGAAGCTTTACAGTAAGCCAAACTGCGAAAGTGTTTGCCGAATGCTAGACCCAATTTGTGACGACTCAGCGTATTGCGAATGAGCGAAGAGATGCAGCGCTTCTCTTCTCACAGGAGACAAAGCTTGTCACGCAGGAAGAGGGCATTCCTGATGGTTGGGAAGGCAGCAAAGCAGGAAATCCGCAAGCCCTAGATTTAGATGACTCGAAAACAACAGCAACCTTCTTGCGGGTGTGAAGTGATGCAGCAGGTATGGATTGCGGACCAAAGAGCTTGCTTCTGAGCCACCAGCCACGGTGAGACTGCTTCTTTGTAATGGCTGCATCAGATGGCATCAGACAAAGACTCCTTTCATTTATTTTGCCGTTTTATGCCGTTTTAACATATTGAGGGTAACATGATGAAGGTGTGAATTGCATGTGAAGGATGAAAAGACATGACTTTCTGCTTGAGGCATGGAGCTTTTTGCCAGCAAAGTGAAGGCAGCCAAGACGGCATGGCCCCCAGAGCCAAGGAGTGAAACCCCTTTTCGGAGGTGCAGAAGCAAAACCAGGTGTTCAAAGATCAATTCACCTGCTCTTGAATCTTGTGCGGCAAGGTCGTTTGGAACGGACCTGCTGGCGTCTTCGAATTTGACAACTTCTCCAAGGGAACAAAGGCTCTCGATTGCAACATGATGATCTGATATGAGAGCGTGTGTCACGCAGGTATTCAGTTGAAATATCGGGATGGGTCACAACCTGCAGCCCCAGTCCACCATGTAACTTGACCTTACAGGTAGGTCAACCAAGGTCTGGTTTTGACCAGCAGCCATATGTTGAAATAGGTGAGAACGCACGTCGTTGTTGTTGTTGTTGGCTGCTGATGTTTTCTGGCTAGGCATTGCTGGAAGCAGTGGCAGACCTTCATGCTTCAGGTCACATCAAAGAATTTCCAGTTGCGTTGCAGTTTGTGGCAGCTAGTGATGTGCGACATTGGTGATGGCAGGTGGTGTGGGCATCATTGGTGGTGGTGACTCTGCAACTGCAGCGGCCAAGTGGGGCATGGAGGACAGCATGAGCGCTGGCTATATTATAGGCTATGGCTTTTCTCGACTGGCATCAAGCAGTGTTGGATTCAAAGGTTGTAAATCTTTGGTTCAAAGGTTTTGAGAGACTCAGCGTCCTATCAATCTTCTATTCAGATTCAATCACGGCTCCTCCGAGGACAAGGTCTCTTTTGTCTCAACTGGTGGTGGTGCTTCCCTCGAGCTGCTTGAGGGCAAGGTCTTGCCCGGCATTGTCAGAGGCTTAGTGTCGAGAATGAGCCATAGTGCACATTGCACATCACACAAGGCTAGCAATACACACAGACACTGATAAATACACACTTGAATAATGTAAACTGTACACAGATGAGAGGATTTGTGTACTCTGTGATGTGGTATGCAAAGTACTAGTCTCACCTGCTACTGGTCTGGCACGCCACACATCAATCTTTATTGGCTTGACCGATGCACTTCAGTCACAGGTGAAGCTTATATAGTCTTGGCCTGGGTTTGCCTTGTCATATTTTGTCTGGTTCACTCTTAGGTTTTTAAACTGAATCAGGTTCCACGAAGCCGAGTCCAAATCCTTGGAAATCCGGAACTGGAGATCAACTTTGGTTTTCTTGCGCAGTTCTTGGTTGGACGGGTTTTGTTTTTTTTGCTGCGTCATTTGCTGGTGCACCATATTATATGGTCCGAAGCGACTTCATTGAACCAACCAGTTCCACATCCTGGCATATTGTGCTGATCCGGTGCTGTCAGATTCGTGCATCTTGACATCTTGACATTCATGCTTTGTTCACGCACGAAAAAAAGATCAAATGACGAACAATGATGAACAATGATTGCATTCCCCTGCAAAATGCAACTTCCAAACCTTCCCTGCCGAGGAGACCTCCGGCGAAGAAATGCACCATATCATGTATGAAGTCTGTTTGCAAAGGGTTTGAACAACACCTGCAAAAGGCGCGCGTAACAACTTTAGACCAAAGGACATCGAGCAGTTCCGTTCTTTTCATGCTTCTTATATGCAACTCCCATCCAGGTTCTGAGTGGATCCCTGCTGGATGCAATCCTATCGAGACATGTCCTTGTTGCCAACTATGCTTGAAGGGGTTCAGTCCCACGTGTACGTGTGTGTGTGTGTGTACGCCTTTTTCTGTGCGAACACATACTGTATATCATTGATCTGTGTTTAAGATGGGCTTTAAAGAGACGAATAGGCTATAGTAGAGACATGTTTTTAGGCTTGTTTTGTTGTCTCTGACAGGATGCACTTGCGAATGCACCTGCCAAATGGGAGGCTGAGATTCGAGCTTTTCGAGTCTTCACGAGTCAATCAAAAACTGAACTTGTCCAGTTTTCACTTGTGAACTTGTGACCCAGTGAGCGGCAGGGCACGGTGACGGGAAAATACCAGTGGGATGACAAGAAGAAGTCGAATACTGATGCAGACAAGGCCCGCAACGGCATTGCAGTGTATCTTGGCAGTCGCTCTCCCGCCGGCAGTATTTAAGAGGCTTACGCCTGACAGCCGGGCGCCGGCCAAGCAGGGTGAGGGTTTGTGTTAAACGCGCGGACGATGAGGGTGTGCAGGGCTGAGTACTCGCTCTCTTTCTCTGTCGCTTTGTCTTGGTCTTTTTCATCCTCTCTCTCCCTTTTCGCTGTCTCCGTCCCGTCTCTCTCTTCCTCTTTCTGTGTCTCTTGCTGTCATTCTCTTTCTCCTTCTCTTTCTCTTCTCTCTCTCTGTGTTTCTCCTTGTCCCCTCAGTGTTTGCCTCGGTCTTCGTCCCTGTCTCCGGTATTTGTCGGTAGTTGTCTCTGTCTCTACCTCTGTGTCGACTAAAAGGTTGTGGGGGAGCATCGCTCTCCCACCCTCGCGCAGGACGGGGGCCGGGACTTCGGGCGTCCGGGTCGCATCCTTCTCGCGAAGGAGGCTGACCGCCCGGGCGTATACCGAGTATACGCCGAAGTCGGGAGAGCCGTCTTGCACATTTCCTGCCATCTCTCTCTCTCTCACTCTCTCTCTCTCTCTCCTCTCTCCCTCCCCTCTCTCTGTCTCTGTCTCTGTCTCTGTCTCGGTCTCTGTCGGTCTCTGTCTCTGTCTCTATCTCTGTCTCTGTCTGTCTCTGTCTCTGTCTTCTCTGTCTCTGTCTTCTCTGTCTCTGTCTCGGTCTTCTCTGTATCTGTCTTCGCTGTCTCTGTCTCTCTCTCTCTCTCTCTCTCTTTGTCTCTTTCTCTCTCTCTCTCTCTCTCTCTTTTTGAGACTGTGTGGGGCTTATGTGGCCCGTCTTGGGGCTATGTTTCCCATATCTGAGAGCTAGGGAGGGTCATCTTCGCTGTCTCCCTCTCTCTCTCTCTCTCTCTTTCTTTGAGACTTGGTGGGGCCTATATTGAGCAAAGTTAAGCTATCTGGTGCGCATCTTGGCCCTAGGTTGGGCCAAGTTGCGCCCATGTGGTCTATGTTGGGCACGGCACATCTTGGGCCCAAGTTGAGCCTATGTTGGGCCTAGGTTGGGCCTATGTTAGGCCTATGTTGGCCTAGGTTGGGCCTATGTTGGGCCTATGTTGGCGTATGTTGGCCCCATGTTGACCTATGTTGGCCCTATGTTGAGCCATCTTGGAGGCTATGTTGGGCATATGTTGGGGATATGTTGGCTATCTTGGGCCTATGTTGGGGATATGTTAAGCAACTTATGTGCCCAACACCCACGAAATGTCGATTAAGCCTGTCCGCGCGGCACGCGTAACTGACACCACGGGCTCCCTGTTAGGCGCAAGTCATGTCCGCCGAAGGCCACGAAACACTGTAAAAAACGATGTTTTTGAACATTTTTCGAACATCCAGCGCAAGATACATATAAATCTGTCGGGCGGATTCGGGCGGGGGTCGACCGGGGGTCGACCGGGGGTATACCGGGGGTCCAACAAAAGGGTCGGCGGCAGGGGCGGCGAGCGTATATAACCTTCGGTTACCAACCGAAGGCCTCCGGCAAGGGAACGTGCGCGTGGCCGGCGCCCGGATTTACCAGGCTACCGCCTGCAGCCGCCGACCCCCAAGGGATAGAACCTTAGCGCTAGCCTTGCTCTATGTTAGCCTTAGCCTTAAGCCTTAGCCTTAGCCTTGCCTAGCCTTAGCCATAGCCTTAGCCTTAGACTTAGACTCAGACCTTACTCTTTTACCTTTCCGGACCCGGGGTTTGTTGTAAAAGGGAGTTGTAGGATTTCCCAGGTATGCGTAGAAAATTGCGAACCTATTTTCTTCCATTGTTGTAGAATTTTCTAGGACTTCCTCTTGTGTTTAGGTTCCCAGATTTCCCCAAAAATTGATTAATCTATTGTTAACCTAGTTGATTCTAGTGTTCCCGGCAAATGCCCTGGAATTTTCCTGGGAATGCTCTAGGCTTTGCTTAGATTTTGCGGTGGACGAGTTCCGGCCAGTGCCCGTGGTAACGTAAAAGGCTCTGGTAAGATTTTCGCATGCCTGTCAGGCGCCCGTGTCCGCGCCGTGTGGCGTGTTGATTCTAGGACGGAGCAGCGCAAACGGAAGCTTGGGCAGGTGGTGGCGAGGTTCTCGCGCCAGCGAGGGAAGAGACCGTAGCCATGTACATGCGGGCGGCGCGCGCGCGCGCGTGGCGGAATGTTTGCAGTGCGGTAGGCCGGGGGGGGGGGGGGGG